TTGTTAGAAAGGTGATTTTTCGTGGACAGTGGTAGAGAAGATACTTTTGTAGGGCTATCAGTGTATAAATATATATATATATATATATATATATATATATATATATATATATATATATATATAGTGCCTTTTGGCCCTTATGCTACACAATGACGCTACTAAAAAGTCAAAACCTTCAGCCTAAAACAAAGTTAATAAGGCCACTAAAAAGCCAAAGCATGTGTAGGGATAGGTAGGCAGTCTGTTAACATTATGTGACATGTGTAACAATAATAAAGAATCTCTTTTTTGGATTAAATCAAAGGTTAGTGACACAAAGGTGATTGCTTATTAATAACTAATGAATTAAGACAGCTCTTTTGCAAAACTAATCTTTGTTACTAGCTGATCTCATATCTTTAGATAAATGTTTCTGCCATACCTGGCTGGCCTAGCGAGTGATGTGTATTTTTGTAACAAGTGATGTTTAGTCATTCAAGCACATCAATTCTCAGCTGTCTATGTCTGTTCCTATTACATCTGCTTCTTATCCATTCCACTGTTGCTTTATTTATGACTCAAATCTTAATTTTATTTCTGCAGGTGCTTATCTTGGGATGACTGGCAAAAGAATATCTAATCCAGCTGATGCTTTATACGTTGGCCTGGGAACGCACTATGTGTCTTCAGGAAACCTTGGTTCCTTGAAGGAATCATTGTTGGCGTCTACATTGTATGTAGAGACTGCCTTTTAAATTTGTTCACTTATTTTTGGAGCTTTATTTGTTTGTTTGTCTGGCAAGTCATAAGAGTTGGAATTATTCTCACAATCTACTTTCATGAGTTATGTCCTATGCATGCATGATTATGAGTTCTGACCGCTTGACTAACTGAACCTGTTGAAGCCTCTCTTTTTATTTATGCAACTCCTCACTGGTGTCTTCAGACCCTTCAATATCTTTTGGCATCATTGTTGAGCTCAATTCTGAAAATTTATCTAATGTTATTCTGAAGTACACATGTTAGTCATACTTTTAACTCATTTATGAATTTTGTTTTCACAAAAAATCGTACAGTTCAGAGGATCCTGACCAGGACATAGCGACAATAGTGTCAAAATACAGCTCCCAGCCGGAGTCTGAGCCACAGCTGAAGGTACTCTTGCCCCATATCACTTCTACCTTTGATGCAAACAAGTCAATCAGTGAGGTAGTTGAGGAGTTAAAAAAGCATCAGCAGAGCGCTGATGGCATAGGTAAGCTACTTTATACAGCATTTTCTTTTGTGATACATGGAGGTCAACTTCATCTTGTACATATGTTATGTTTGTTCACCCTCCTGTAATCTTTGGGCCATATGTTCCCTGTCTTGAATAATTGAGTTTTGATGAGTAGTGGCTGGATGGGCCAAGGAGGCGTTGGAAGGGCTTGGCAAAGGAGCTCCATTCTCCCTCAGCTTAACGCAAAAATACTTTGCTAAAGTTGCATCAGGCCTCAGAAGTAATGATGCTAATTTGTCAAAAGTGAGTAAGAAGCTTCTCATTCAAATTTGATATGCATACTCAGTGCAAATCTCATTTCTGCTCTCCCCTTTGCTGCTTGATATGTAGTTGAGTGGAGTGATGAAACTGGAGTATAGAATTGCTCTGAGATCTTCTCTGAGAGAAGACTTCACTGAAGGTGTCCGTGCTGTCTTGGTCGACAAGGATCAGGTCTGTACTTTTATTCATTCTAATTATGTTGTTTGTTACACAATCTGCAAGTTTGCAAGTGCTGCACCACCAGACACCAGTCACCGAGGATAGGTAGTTCTGTCTTTAACATAGATGATATACTTATTACTTGCAGAATCCAAAGTGGAAGCCACCTGGTGTTGAGGAAGTCAATGCACAAGAAGTGGAGACCCTTTTTGAGCCATTGGAGCCGAGCGTTGAAGAATTGAAGGTCTAATTGGAAGCTCCATTAAGCCATTAGGTGTCTAAGTTGTATGATTTAGAATAACTTGTGTTGTCTTATTTATAATCTGAGGCACATTTATAACTCAGATAATTGATCCAATTTAATGAATAAACGAACAGAATTGGTCAAAAACAGGAATAATAAATCCTTCTGTAATGGAAATTCTGAGTACAATTTGCACCAGTTTATCATCATTGCACACCAAAAATTGTTAAATTTGCAATGTCATTTTCAGTGATTTGCATAATTGTTAAGTTTTTTTATGCAGTGCTGTCAATTTATCACAGTAACATAGAGTAATTGTCAATATTATGTTCTTAGATGGAGTGAAAGCCTTGAACAAATAATCAAGCTATTCACAATATTCAGGAAGTTGTAGTTTAGTCAAAATTTGTCATCAGAAATTAGTAGTTCGCCTCTAATTAAGCTTGCATTTCAAGCTTAAACACTACTCTTACCAATTGTCCTTTTTGTTTTCCCACACTAATCTTACCATCTATACTCAATAAATTAGCAAAACCCAAAAAACTTACCATCTTATTTTACCAATTTTAGAAATCCAACACAGTTTTATTTTTATTTTCCACAAAAGATAAAGGAAAAAAAAAATCAAGAAAGCTTTCTTACACATATTTTATTTGAAAGGCAAAAAATTTCATGTCATAATCTCAAAACAATCTCAAAACAAAAAACACTAAAAGTTTTTGTTTTTTGTTTTTCTTCTTTTCATTTTTACTAAAATTACAAAAAAAAATAAAAAAAAAATGAAAAGAAAAGAAAAGAAAAAAAACAATAAAAAATTGTTGGAGGAGGCTCAGATCTGCCATTTCATCAAAAACAATCTGGTGGAAGTAATTAATTCATCAAGGTTAGATTAAAAAGTCAACTCCCGTGGCGGCAAATCAAACCCATAACAGGTAGCTGCCAAGCCAAATGGAATTGAACCTCACCAAAACCTTGAAGATAAAAACCTCCAAAAACCAAACTGAAAATGACTAATTTGAGTGATTTGATAGCATCATAGCCTCAAAGTAACGGAGGAAGTATTAGTATTATTATGAAGTACTATATATGTATGTATAATATGATTTGATGATTATGATGATGATGATGATGATTGAGGACTGTTTGCTTGGGTTTATAGAAATCAGCGGCTAAAGATTACCGACCGCCGTAAACGGTGGTGGAGATCAAGGGAGAGTGGCAAACGGTCCTCGGGAAACTCCCATGGCCTCTCCCTGCCTCATTCTTAAACTAATGATAGATAGGAACCCTACGTTTTGCGGCTTCTGTTCTTTCTTATAGTGTGTTCAAAGTGAAATGGTTAGGGTGATGAATTGGGCCAATTGACCGATTGGTAAATAAAAAAGATTCCTAGCCACAATTTGGTAAAAAATAATTCCGGCGATAATATGGTAGAAAAGGTTAACTACATATGACAATTTGGTAAAAAAAAAATTATTCTTAGGTGACATTTAGGCCAAAATAATAAATTTTTTTGACAAAGTCTTCAAATTTCTTAATTTAATTTGTTATTGTGTTTTTTAAATTTATTTTTCCCATTTAAAAATTAAGATTAATGTGTCATCTCCTTTTATTTTGCTTATAAATCCCAAATCAAATTTATTTCCAAGCCTTTTTAAAAAAAAAAAATCGTTGATAAAGGGTAGGAAAATTAAGTGGAAAATAAAATTTACACAATAATTTTTTCTTCAAATTGTTAATTCTGAAAAAGGGGTTGGAAAATTAGGTAAGAAACCACGAAAAACGAACTAAATTAAGCATTTACGGGTAGTTTGTCGGAAACTTTTGTATATTTTGGGTTAATTGTCGCTTGAGATGATTTTTTTTTACCAAATTGTCGATGGAGCTATTTTTTTAACCTAATTGTCGCTAGGGGTCTTTTTTATTTACCAATCTGGTCAATTGGTCGATGAATTGGTGATGATGTATTGCTTTTTTCTTTTGTTTGTCTATTGTCATTTTTGCCCTCTTTGCTTAAGATCTTTTACAAGAAAGCAATGAGAATGACCCTACTGATTCAAACATATACGAAATAATTCCTTCATTTTATATTAGTTAACGCATTTGTTTAATGTATAATTTTGAATAAAAACATGAACTTTTACAAGCAAGCAGCGAGAATGACCTTATTTGACTCAAATGTATACTTTATCTGTTTTAATGTTAGTTGACACATTTCATTTAGACGTGTTTGTCCATTTATAACTTCAAATAAAAATATCAATAATTATGTACAACCGAAAATTATAAAATGAGATATTTGAAAAGTAGTAGTTGAGATGAATTTAACAATACTCTACTTGACTATTTTTTTTCTTAAAAATAAATCACAAAATGAAATCAAAGTAACTTATGTGGATGGTAGCGAAAGTTTAACAAAAAAAAAAAAAAAAAAAAAAAAAAAAAAAATAGTGTCAACTAAAATGGAATGGCGAATATCGACACTAGTCTAGTTTTGTTACTAAAATTTATTATGGTAAAGGGATCCAAAATTGGAGGACCCCTAAATGAGGTTTGTTCTCGTGATCATGAAGTTATGAACCAAACCTTGTTATAGGTTAAATCATTTAAGTCTTAAGGTTTATTTATTTATTTATTTTATAGTGATTTTTTTTTAAAAAAAAAAGTTAAAACTTTATTGAGATAATAATGATAACCAGGATTATTTAACACCCTAAGGTATAGCAGTGCACAAGTACACGTTATAGGGCCGTATTAATATTGTCAATGTGTAATGTTAACGAGTGTTTTTTCCCACAAATGTTCATCTTCTCTCAATACCTTATATTTTAAGTGCTTTTTAGTGCATTGTTTCATTACCTTGACAGCTGACACAATCAAGAGACTTTGCTTGACACAATAGCCACAACCACAAGGGCATGTATAGCCTATACAAATATGATTCGGTTTCACAGATTATACTATCTTTGTCCATAAATACAAGTAACTACTACATTAAGTGTTAGATTTGCTGCGTATATAAAAATAATATCTTAAACAGAAACATTCTAAAAAATGACATAGAAGTAAGACGGAATAGCATTTCAAGAGTAATTGTCTTATTAACCAACAAAATTACAACACAGTTCAGCGATTTTCATTACAGAAAAATAGTTAAATACCTAGCACAAAACAATTTCAAAAGGCTTAGGGTAAAATTAACAAATAATTAAAATGCTGCCACTTGAATACTTGATCACCCCCTGAACGCTGAAAATTAAAAAGCTGATTTGTTTCAGCTGCAAACACTGAGGAATCAAGGCACCAAAGGGAGATCGAGATGAGGGGTAAGTTCCAAGTTTTTCATCCAAAATGACTTTACAGATAAGGCAGGAAAGTTATTAGAACCAATAAAACAGAATCATGAAGAAAGTAAGACTTCATTGTTTTCACCTTTATCCCCATGCCACAAATTGAAGATGATGCAGATTGACAGTTCCACAGTCGCAGTATGGTGCTGGCAAAGCATGAAACACCACTATGGTGCCAAGTTTGGAACGAAGGTCTACAGAAATATACCACTCTGCTATCATGGTGACACACAGCTGCAAAACCTTCTACTCCCTACTTTGCCTTGCCATAAGGAGGGTAGAGGCTCTCTACTCTCTAGGGTAAAGTTGATATCGTAGCACAGCAGAAATAGCAAACCCCACTTTGCCTTGCCAATATTACGTTACACTGAAACTAGTGGTGGATACCATGACGTCAAAGGAAGACATAAAAGAAAGTGAGAATACCTCTACCTCTGCCACTAAACCAGTAGAAGGGCTGTTAGAACCACCCCCTGAAATCAGATATTTTCTTTTCAAAAAAGGGAGAAACAACGAGGCTCAGATTTGGCCTTCATCAGGCAATGAAAGACACTGTTCTTTTCTATAGAATTATTTTTCAAATAGTCCCTAGTTAATCAATGATGGCAAAGCAAGCAAAACTCAAGTTAAGAGTTTCCATATGCTGCCCTGCCAAGCACATGCAACGCCCTCCAGGCCTTCTCTTGAAGCCTGATTACCGCAATCCCCACTTTTTTACCTTAAGAAAATCAGTTCCACATCTATTAAGTACATGCACGTTCAGATAAGAAAAATAAGACTAGACAAGTGGAAGTTTTAGGTGAAAAGAACATGCCTTTAGTCTAATAATAGCCATCACTGCCTCCAATTAGTTTTTTGAATGACACTAGACTCACAAGCTTCGAATTCATCTTTGTCAACTGGAAACTCTCAAGTCAAGTTGATGAAAAATCAGCTTTGCCCTCTGATCCCACAAAATCCACATACCTCTCCATTTAAGATAGCACTACTTCAATTGTCATCAACAAAACTAAAAAAACAAAGCCTTAGTGTAAAATAATGGAAATATACCCCAAAAAGTCTTCACTGCCTCCAATAATTGTCTTAAAAGACATTACCATGAAAAAAGGAAATGCTAGGATATGAAAAGTTAAAAATTCAGTTGCAGAGCATTGGAATGAAATTCAGAAGGTTGCGTGTTTGATAGACAGGCTTAGATACGGTATCAGCTCAATACTAAGGCGGCAAGCCAAGCAAAGCTCGTAGGCTTTGTGCTGCCAAGCCAATAGCAGAAGCTTCCCCCTTCAATAATCAACCACTCTCTCCTTCCCAAAATATATTACTCATTTCTATTTTCAAAACTTTCTCAAATCAAAATTCCAAAATCACATGCATCAAACAGTTCATGTCTTTTTATCAATATAATCTTGATATTGATATAATCTTCACGTCATATACTCCCAAAACAACAAACAATTAAAAAAAATTGTAAAATTGTAGAAGTATTACCAAATTTCAACAATGCAGCTTCCATTTTATTTTTCTCAAACAAGAGGCTCAGATCCACATTTCATCAAACAATCCGGTGGAGAATTTCGAGGTGGGAAAATCAACCATGGCGGCAAATCAATCAAATTGGAACAAATAATTTCCAAATTCCAACCAAAAAAAACCACAAAACAAAAATAATACTACCTCCGCTTCATATTATTTGTAACATTGGAATATTTGATCTTTCTGCCAAGCCAATGGAAAAAATTACCCAAAACCTCAAAAAAATTCTCCAAACCAAAATTAAATTAGACTACTTTGAACGGTTTACACTCATCACAGCCTCTAATGGTTGGTGATTTTTGGTGTTGGAAGATCAAGAGCATGCAGTCAGCAGAGTTATACAGTCACAGCTCACAGAGACAGATAAAGCAGCTAAGGTTCTGGCATCCGATGGTTTGAGGACCGTTTTAATAGTGTCCATATAAATCACCGGCGAAAGACAACCGTTGTAAACAATGGTCCTCTCAGGAGAGGGGCAAAACGGTCCTCAGGAAACTCCCATGACCTCTCCCTGCCTCATTCTTGGTATTATCAACGACAAACCCTAGATTATGAATACTGATATTCACTGATTAAGAAAAACATCTTACCTCAGAAGCTCCTCCGATAGAAAAGAGAAAGCTTACTAAGTCACAACACATTACAACGGCGAATTCAGAGTACGCTAATGAAGGAGAGAGTGAGAGATAGCTCAGAAGGCGCTTCAATAGAGAATTCAGAGTACACTTCAATGGAGGAGGCTCAGACCCTCATTTCATCAAACAATCAGGTGGAAAATTTCGAGGTGGGAAAATCAACCATGGCGGCAAATCAATCAAATCGAACACAAATAAATTCCAACTGAACCAACCCCACAAAATAAAAATAAAATAAAATAAATGAGAAAATGCAAGTTAAGCATCATGTTGAAGACTAGCTTTGATCTTCGTAAACAAACCAACATTTGATCTTTCTGCCAAGCCAAATGGGAAAAATCATTCAAAAACCTCGAAAAATTCTACAAACCCGGATTAAATTTGACTACTTTGAACAGTTTAAACTCATCATAGCCTCTAAAGATTGATAAATGTTGGTGGTTCATAAGATTAAGGTGCATGCAGACTGCAAAGTTACAATCACAGTTCACAACTCACAGTTCACAGACAGATAGACAGTTGGTTAGAGCTGAGGACAGTTTTAACGGTTGTCGGAGAAATCACCGGCAAAAAACGGCCGCCGTTAACGGTGGTCGTCTAAGGAGAGGGGCAAAACTGTCCTCGGGAAACTCCCATGACCTCTCCCTGCCTCAATCTTAATATTAAATCAACGATAAACCCTAGATTGTGAAATTGATATTCGATGATTACAACAACTTAACCTCAGAAGCTGCTTCAATGGAAGATAGAAATATCAGAAGTAGATTCAATGGAGAACGTTGAATGCGCTTCAATGGGAAATTGATATTCAATGATTACAAACAAAAACCATCTTACCTCAAAAACTGTTTCAATGGAGTGAGAGAAAGCTCAGAAGCCGCTTTAACGGAGAACTCAGAGTGCGCTTCAATGGAGGAGGCTCAGATCTGCATTTCATCAAACAGTTTGGGGGATAATTTTCCAGAAAGAGAAAATCAATTACACAAATGGCGGCAAACAAAACCCTGAAGTTGCTGCCAAACCAATTGGAAAAGAAAATCAATTTCCAAGAAAAACCCAGAAAACCAAATTGAATTTGATTACTTTAGATTCAAATTCATCACAGCCTCAAAGGGTCCTTAACATTTTTTTTTTTTTTTTGAGAGTGAAAAGGGGAAGAAGAAGAAGAAGAAGAAAAGGCGTATACTTGTAGTTGTAGTACGTAGTATGGAGTAGTAATAAAATACGGAGTAATAATGAAGAAATATCAGTTGTATTTCCCGCTTTGAGGGCCGTTTTAATGGTGGTAGAAGAAATCATCGGCTAAAGATGACCACCGTAGACGGTGGTTATCATGGAAGAGGGGCAAAACGGTCCTCGGGAAACTCCCATGGCCTCTTCCTGCCTCATTCAATCGTATGAACCCTAATTTATGCCCCCTTTCTGCTATTTTAAAGAGGGAATTTGAGGTAATTGTCAACTTTGCCCTCTTTGTTTAGGCTTTGGAGTTAAGTTATAATGAGGGCATTAATGTATTTTATTTCACTACTTTTTTTTTCTTTTTTCTTTTTACTTTTTCGTGAGGGTATTTTGTTTAAAGGACTATAACAACATTGAAAATATTAATCGGGTTTTAGTTGGTAACAAGAATGGTATCAAGGAATTTATTTTGTTTATATTCTTGTTGCGATGATGTTAGTAATGTCGGGAAGTAGTATCAACGCTAATCATGGTGTTCGATGATGTCCTTATAAGAATTGTACTATTGATTGGGTAAAATTGTGCATAAAATGTGCAATGGCTTATGCTAGCCTACAACTCCGAGGCTTCTTATGAATACCAAGTTTAGCAAGTAGCAACGTTAATAAGTAGTAAACTAATGCTGATCATGTTATTTAATGATGTCCATATAAGTATTGTTCTAATGATGGCATAAAATGTGCAAGGGCTTATACTAGACTACAATATATAAGCTGCTCTGAGGCTTCTTGCAACTGCATTGTGGTTTGCGATAAATCACTTATAACTCCTCTTAGCAGCTAGCACATTTCATGATCCAAATATTGACGTTTTAATGCACAAGCAGTAAGCAGCTCACACTGAGCAATTTGGACCTTTGGTTGATAGATTATTAAGCTGTGAACTGTTATCTTACATCAAAAAGGAAATGTTATCATCTAAGAGCAATCAGAATAAAACCAATGTCAATACACAGTAGCTGTAGCCTGTTGATTACATACAAACTCTGTTATGACCAGACCCTCCATTCCTCAATCCTACAAACTTGAACATTTTGTCATAACATGTCACTATACTGTAATCACAAACACAATTCTTGATCACAATACTAAATGCAATCACTAACAATTCCAATCCTTAATCAATGAGCATAACCTCAATAGACAAATGTGGAGGAGTATTTACCATCATAACCTTCATCATCACAGATGACAAAATCACCAAGCAAAATAACGACGAGGGCTGCGGCTGCAGCTTCTTCAACAAGCCTCAATTTCTAATCAAATGAACAATTTTCATCAAGCAATCGGTCTACAGCCTAAACTACCTAGAGCCAGCGATTTGTTCCAATGGTACTATAGTGCAAAGTGAAAATCCCAGCAATGTCACGCAAAGACCTGAAGTTCTCTTCATCTAGGATAAATGAGCTTGTGGATACTTTCAGACTGTCATATGAAAACTTACAACATACAAGGCAGGCACCTTATTCAAGTTCAACCACTGTCAAAACTAATTTAGGCCCAAATAAAAAAAAACAAAAAAAGAAAAACTTATGATCTAAAAAACCAAAATGCTTAATCAATCATTTCAATTACAAAATGCACCCATAATATGAATCTCGGTCGAAATTTACAACAATTAGTTTTACGGAACTTCAAAATGCTAATCTAAAGAAGCATAAGCGATATGCTCCTCATCAATTACTATAATTTTAAGATAATTCTAACCTCATAAGATTGCCAATTTATCTCTGCAATTGTCCACTCTAGTTCTGTTCATCAAATTCAAGCATAAAGAACCAAACTTTAATATCTAACTTTCAACCACTATAAAACCCAACAACCTTAACCTAAAATTTGTCCATCTTCAAATCATCTAAACAATTTTTATCATGATAAATATTAAATACTGACCAAAAAAAGAAATTATTTTGACAGGAGGCTCAGATCGGCATAGCATCAAACAAACAATTTGGTGAGGCAAATCTAGCAAGGGAAAAATCAACAATGGCGGCAAACCAAACCTGAAAAGATGCGCATTTGAGGAGAGAGAAAATCTCAACCCAGCAACATGCAAACACCCATCAAATTGCTGCCAAGCCAAATGGCAAATTAACCAAAACAAGAAATGCCCACAAAAACCAAACTGAAAATTGATTGCTATTAAACGATTAATTATCATCACAGCCTCAGTATTGGTACAATTACTACTACTAGTACTACTACTGAATTTTTATTTTTATTTTTATTTTTATTTTTTGGGTTTTTGGATTGATCTGAGGGCCGTTTTAATGGTGGTCGGAGAAATCACCGGCTAAAGATGACCGCCGTGAACGGTGGTTATCAAGGAAGAGGGGCAAAACGGTCCACGGGAAACTCCCAAGCCTCTTCCTGCCTCATTCAATCATAAGAACCCTAATTTTCCCCCAATTTGCTTATTTATGGAGCACAAGGAATTGTCTTTCGCCTGTTGTATATTGTCCTTTTTGCCCTCATTCTTGGGATCAATGAATGAAGATAAAGAGGGCATTAATGTCTTTCAATTTTCCTTGACAAACTATTTTCTTGCAGTATTTATAACTAAAAAGAAAAAAAATGGTACAAATATGAAGCCCTTGTGAAATAAAATGATTGATTGGTGTTTCTCTAAAAAAAAAAAAAAATAAAAAAAAAATTGATTGATGAGTGTAAAGTGTAATCCAATCTAAAAGCATGCAAATGTTTAAAAAATCATTTTTAGCTTAACCTAACATTGCTTAGTTATTTTCACCCTATAGATAGTGAACAGTTAAACAACGCCCACAATTTACCATATTATGCGGAAGAAATTTATCTACTTCGTATATTGTTTTGTTTTTTGGTATCAGGTTTGATATGCTTCAATTAGCAATTACAATGGCTACCAACAAAGAGTAGCATTTTAGACTCTTAATTAGTTGCAAGAATTGCAATTTTAGTAAAACGGAGGAAATATTTAATCAATCAAGCACAAGCACCCTCAAAATTACAACTTTTAATCAATCATCATTATCATTAATCAGCATAATTTCTTCAATCTTATACTCCGTACATTATACAAGAAAGCTTTGGTCTGTACATAGTGCTTGAACATTCAATAATCACTATGGAGTTGTAACTTTTCAGTGCCTAAATAATTGTATCAGTAATGGTACAAACACTGAAGTTGCCTATGAACCAGCAAAATACTTGATGCTGTCGCTTGTCACTTGATTGCACCAATTCTCATAGAATGTGAGCCTTTTTTAAGTGCCTACATAACAATACCAGTAACAGTACAAATCTGAAGTTGCCTCTGAACCAGCAAAATACTTGATGCTGTCACCTGTCACCTGTCACTTGATTGTGCCCGAGTCTTATAATATGTGAGCCTGTGAAGTTTTGATCAGCATTTTATCTCAAAGCCACCAATTGATCACAAATGTTCCCGCCCTGAAAGACAGTTTAAGAGGTTATAGCAAAAGTTCAGAAAAAAATGCATTGATTAGTGATTTAAGTTCAAAGAGTAGAGGATGAATAAAAGGGCATCACTCATTAATAATAAATTTCCCAAGCCACCAAAGTGTTTGCACCACTCTTTAGTGTTTATGCTATGTGCAGCGCTTTGCTTCCTAAGCTTGGTGGTATGTTGTCTATGTATACGGTAGTTTATATAATCCATAATTCACTACAAAAACACAAGGGATTTCAAAGATCTACAATGACCAAATTTACGCATATTTTCAAAGCCATAATATTCAACAAGATCATTCCAAGGCTTAAAAACTCCACTAAGGAGTACAAAGCATATTAGACAGATTACAGGAAGATTTATGGGGGTTTTTCATCATGAGCACAAATTTTCAGGGAATCGCATAGAAGAAGGCAAAGTGAAAGACTAATTTGACTAGTAGTTATTCTTGAGTCTTGTTACTATGAAAACACTATAAGACTAGGGTCTTTCTCATACAAAATGATTAGTTCATCAATGCAAGAACAGAAACAGCAGAACATGGGAGGTTTCCAAAATGCTTATTTCACATTGTTGACATCATTATTATACAATAATGCAAGAATTACAAATGGAATTACATACTTACAATGAGCAATCTTAAGCATTTGCAGGATCACCAAAATGCGAACTTCCCTACCATCCGATTTACTCGAGTCTCATAAGTACAGAGCCATTGACTGCATAATGTATCCGATTGGTCGAGCTATGCAACAACACCAAAGCCAATCAACTTCTTCATGTATTACAGAAAACATAACTATTCAATAATTATATTTTCTAAATGTCAACAAAAAACAACATAATTAACTGAAGCAAGGTACCGTCTGGTTCTTACCTTAACACCTTCCTGCTAGAGTTGAACATCACTCATTTTGTGATCAGCCAATTGAACAATAACATCCATCAATGTATCAGCATATTCACATACGTGCACACATAGTTACATAACCATAGACATTAGAGAGAGAGAGAGATTCAGCCTTCATTAGAATAGAAATCAAGAATGGACCCAAAGTCTATTAGAGTAACATTCTACAATTGAGAGGCTCGTAAATAAGGAGGATATTGAAGTACAAAACATGGAATCATTGCAGCCTTTAAAATTAGGCGCTCATTCCCAAATGAACCCAATATAGATCCATTACTTCGGCTCCGTACTAATACTGAATTACTGATGTAGCTCAGTTGTTGACTGAATGACTGGTGAAAGCAAAGACCTAAAACTTACATCATACAATATGAAACTTTATACTGCAGGTGAGATACAAGCACAAAGGAGACATGGGATTCAACTGCTGCTCAAAAGCAACCTCATCAAGGCCCTCTTTAATGGATGTAAGAATAATTTTCCCATTTAATCATCCCAAAATAACCACAAAAGTAATGCAAACTGAGTAATATGTATTACCTTGTCGACAATGCTAGCTTTCAATTTTTTTTTTTAATTTTTTTTTCCCCCTCTCTGAATCAGGATCTGTTTTTATTTTTTTAGGAGGCTCAGAACCACATTACATCAAACAATTTGGTTGAGGATTTCGAGGAGGCAAAATTAACCATGGCGGAAAATCAATCAAATTGGGTCCAGAAAAATTCCAGATGAACCAAACAAAGCCTTAGTAACAACCGCAACATACAAAACACCCATCATTTGATTGCTGCCAAGCCAAATGGAAAATTACCAAAACAATTCAAAATATTCTCCAAACCAAAATTGATTGACTACTTTGAACGGTTTAGACTCATCACAGCCTCTAAAGGTTGATGATAATTGTGGGGTAAGAAGATAAAAGATGCAGGCTGACAAACAGTTGCAGAGTCGCATCTCACAGAGACAGAAAAGGCAGTTAAGGTTCTGGCATGCACAGGTTTGAGGGCCGTTTTTGCTGTGGTCGGAGAAATCACCGGCTAAAGATGACCGCCGCTCACGGTGGTCATCTAGGAGAGGGGCAAAACGGACCTCGGGAAACTCCCATGGCCTCTCCTTGCCTCATTCTTGGTAAACCATAAAGACTGGCATATGCAGGCCTGTCCCTGAGCAAGGGCAGGAGGGGTGGCTGCCCCTGGTCCAAGGAGAAAAGGCCCCATTTTCATGGTTTTATCCTGACATCAAAGGGTTATATTTGCAACACATTAGCAACCAAAGTGGCCTCATTTATCAAACTAGGCTCGAAAAAATATGTTAAATTCATCTCACTTAAGGATATGAATAGCAGAATTCTAGTAACAAGATCGCTCATTATAATCTTTCATAACTTCGGTATTTATAACCAATAGTTTAATAATCCACCATAGAGGAACCCTGAAATGACTATGACAGCAATGTTAACAATTAACACTAGATTGTGCAATTGACATCTTATCTTAGAAGCTGCTTCAATGGAGGAGAGAAAGCTCACAAGCCGCTTCAATAGAGAATTCAAAGTATGCTTCAATGGAGGAAAGAGGAGGGGTGAGAGGTGCAGCGAGGCAGCACAAACGTGAAAAAGCTCCAAAAGGGGAAATGGAAAATATAGACCTAAGAGGAATATTAATGACACCCCGGAATGTCAACTGCTAAGGTATCAAAATCAGAAGTGTTAGTAACACAGGTTTGCTTTGATACATATGAGTAAAAAACAGGTAGCTTTTAATTATAATCAATGGTTCATTCAAGAATCGTATGAATACAAATTATTAGTAACAGATAGATAGGCTCAGTTTCACTTTTGGTCAGGCATAAGCTCAGTACCATGGCGGCAAACCAAGCAAAGCTCAAGAGCTTTGGCTGCCAAGCCAATAGCAAATGCTTGCTCCCCTTCAATTATCAACTACTCTATAGCTCCCCCAGATGGATTTCCTGTTTGCTTTTTCACAGTCAACAAGACACCTTTGCCAATTAATTCTTTAGTTACGTAGTGTAAAGTTGATATTTACAAATACACAATGAAACAAATCAAACAAGATACCATATGATTATGGTCCCCTAATATTAATAGGAATTAATGATCGAAGTTTGTGAAGTTTGACTTCAGAAAAAGCATGACATAAATCCTTTACGTGACGGAGTATGTTGAATTTTTTAAAATGGAATCATCACTGCCTTCTAAATAACTCACTTATCCACAAATGAACTAAGTGTACATCCATTATTACTACTAATACTGATATAGCTCAGTTGGTGAGGGCATAGACCTAAAATGTACATCATAAAACATAAGACTGAAGGATACTTCAATAAAAAAAATTAAAATGCAGACAAGATACAGCAGAAAGGAGACATGGGATCCAACCACTTCTTAAAAGCAAGCTCATCAAGGCCCTCTTTAAGGATGCATCAATAATCTTCCCGTCTAATCCTTCCAAAATTCAAACCAAAAAATAATGCAGAACTGAGAATTATATACAAAGTATATTACCTTGTCAACAATGCTAGCTTCCAAATTTGTTTCCCCTGGATGTGGATCAGGATTAGGTTATTGTTTTTCTACTCTTGTTTTTTTCCTTTTTTTTTTAGGAGGCTCAGATCCACATTTCATCAAACAATTTGGTGGAGAATTTTAAGGTGGGAAAATCAACCATGGCGGCAAACAAAAATAGATGGGTCCAGAATATTTCAGATGAAACAAACAGAGCCCAAAAACACAACTATAACAACAAAAGACCCATTCATTTAATGAGAGTGAGGGATAGCACAAGTGGTTAGAGCTTTCCTCCAAGTTCCAAGAGATCCTGAGATTGATTCTCATCACCCGCCCTTGTGGCTCTCTAAAGACCAAAATAAAAAGACCCATCATTGATTGCTGCCAAGCCAAAGGGAAATTAACCAAACAACTCAAAAAATTCACCAATCCCAAATTGATTGACTACTTTGAATGGTTTACACTCATCACAGCCTCTAATGATTAATATAGTTTGTGGGGTAAGAAGATAACGATGTGTGCAGACTGCAGAGTTCCACAGTCACAGCTCAAAGAGACAGATAAGACAGTTAAGTTTCTGGCACTTGACAGTTTAAGGGCCGTTTTTACAGTGGTTGGAGAAATCACCGGCAAAAGATGACCGCCGCTGAAGGTGGTCGTCAAAGGAGAGGGGCAAAACGGCCCTTGGGAAACTCCCATGGCCTCTCCTGCCTCATTCTTGGTCACCGTAAAGACTGATATATGCAGGCCCATCCCTGAGCCAAAGCGGGAGGAGCAGCTGCACTGGGCAAGGAAGTAAAGGTCCATTTTCATAGTTCCATCCTACAATAAAGGGATACAAACAACAGCTTGCAACACATTAGCAACCAAATTGACTCAATTATCAAATTAGGCTCCAAGAATCACATCAAATTCTTCTTGCTTAAATATATCAACGTCAATGGCACATAGCAAGATTCTTGCAATAAATCGATCATTATTATCTTTCATAACTTCAGTAATAATAACCAATAGTTCAATAATCCACCTTAGAAGAACCCCAAATTGACTATATCAATCAATCAATCAATCAAGCCTTAATCCCAATTTGACTATACTGACAATTAAATTAACAATTAACACTAGATTGTGAAATTCATATTCATGGGTTTGTATGTTCATCATAAGGCCGTTTTAGGGGTGATCAGAGAAATCACCGGCTAACGATGACTGGTGGTCATCAAGAGAAAGTGGCAAACGGTCCTTAAGAAACTCCCATGGCCTCTCCCAGCCTCAATCTTACACTAATTATATTGTTGAACAAAGATCCTGAAAAACAAACGCAACAAATATCAAAACTACAACTATTATATTACTCAACCAGACATTGTACAATTTAACCTAGTCCATAAACATAACTTCTGATACAATTAACATGCCCAATATCATCTATAAAAGTACCAGCCTTTACAATCTAAAATCAACAGTGCAGAATTACCCAACAATCTCACCACCAAAATTCACCAATTCAAGAATCCAGAATCCAAAAACTTAACTTCAAAATTCTATTTACCTAAAACTGAGCAAATAACACTAATATCATTTAGCAACAACCCAAAATCAAGACGTTCTCAAATCAAATTTTTAAAATCACATGCAAACCAATATCATGACTTTTTATCATGTATAATCTTCACATCATACTCCCACAATTCAAACAAAAAAAAAAGTAAAAGTAATACCTTTTCAACAAAGCAGCTTCCAATTCTTCCTTATTTTTTCTAACAGGAGGCTCAGATCCACATTTCATCAAACAATCAGGTCGAGAATTTTGAGGTGGGACAATCAACCATGGCGGCAAATTGCGCCCAAATGATTTCCAACCAAACCAAACCAAAACACAAAACAAAAACAAAACAAAACCAACATTTTGATTTGCAATATCATGAAAATAAACTTGTATTTTCTCTTCTTCTTTTTTTTCTGCCAAATTAAATGGAAAAATAACCCAAAATCCTCAAAAAACTCTCCAAACACAGATTAAATTTGACTACTTTGAACGATTTTCTCTCATCACAGCCTCTAATGATTGATGATTTGCAAAGGGTGAGATGAGAAGATTATGATGCATGCAAATACTGCAGAGTGACAGTCACAGCTTACAGAAACAGATAAGACAGTTTCGGTTTCGGCATTTGGCGGTTTGAGGACCGTTTTCACGGTGGTCGGAGAAATCACCGGCAGAAGACGACCGCCGTTGATGGTGGTCGTCAAAGGAGAGGGGCAAAACGGTCCTCGGAAAACTCCCATGCCTCTACCTGCCTCATTCTTGGTAAACATGAAAGAGGTAAAGTGGTAAACGTGATGCTGGTGCTTTGTGCTGCTTTCTATAGTGCTTTTTTCGTGGAGGTAAACCTTTAGATGTTGTAAATGGACAATTTTGTCCCTTGAGTTTGGTGGTGTTAGAGAAGTTAGATAAGGGCAAAATGTCTATTTCCTTGATTGGTCTTCTCTAATGGCTTTTCCACTATTTTGCGAGGAGGAAGTACTAAAGCATAACGGTTATGTATGAAAAAATATATGGTAGTTAAGATTTTTCGCAAACCATAAATATCTAAAGTATTTCTGTAAATCGAATTAGTCTCAATGTAGTCTACTGTCTACAGTAGTAGTATTTTAATCCCTAGTTGTACAAATTTGTTATCCAATAATAATAAGCTATTTCTCATTAGTATGAAGCAGATTTCATCTCAAGTGTTAGAGAAAAATTTCAAGTAAGTTGTTAAGTTCGTCAATCCTCAGTAGTATTATTAATAGTCTCATTGATAGGAAATTACTGTCCAGCAGACCAGCAGTATAAAAGTAGTATCCAGTGAAACATCTTAAATAAACCGATTTTTCTAAGCAAATTTACTAGTTGTTTTATTAATTGCTATAATTAAATTAGTTAGTCTTAATTTTTAGTAGCTACCTCGATTTGGTTACAGAGCCATATGGTTAATTTTAAGCTAGTTGTTGATCAAATTAATTAGTAAGTAAAACTGGAGAACACTAGGCCATCAACTGAGTGTAAGAAACCTGATTTTAAGCATTACTATCACATTTCGGAAAATACTAGTAATTTTGGTCCAACCCTTAATTATATAGTAGATCAAATTGGTGAATTAAAATCAGAAGTTGATAATATATACACTCGTTGTATTAATATTGAAAACAAGATATCAATAACCACTACCGACATTAATAAAAAATTAAGTGAGCTAAAAGAACAAGTCAAACAAGTACAACTTGCTTTAACAAACGAAGTTAGACATCAACCTAATAAAGAAGTATCACCTAAGGAAAAGATCGCCCCTTATATATATAAATATCCTTTTCAAAATTTAGATAAAAATAAGAAATTTACTGTTTCACTTCCTAAAAGACCCGCTAATGAAAAAGAAAAGAATCAAGAGACTAAAGATGAACCATCATCTGCAGGTGAAAACGCTTGAAGAATTACAAATCTTATTTGATAAGGAAGAAGACCATGACAAACTCAATGAGATCATGAAAATAATTTCTGAAAAAGAGATTGATTCTGATAATGAAATAAAGGAAAATAAATATGTTTCTTTAGAGGAAGATTTATATCAACAAATGGGATTAATGAAGTTAGATGATCCAGACTTTCTACCTATCGAAGTTGTTCAACAAAAAATTGATAATAAACTCGGTAAAAGAGTAATGGATAATAATGACGTTGGAGAAGAAATTATTAATGAAAATAATGTTAACAATGTTATCCAAAGACCTAGGTATCAAGGAGAAGGAAGTTGTACACGACCAAAATACATATCAGGGAAGACTACCCGGTTTAGTGTCAAAGTTATGCCTAATAAAATACCTAAAAAGGAGAAGTAACTCTTGAACACATAAGTCAAACTGGTTATAAGCTTAAATAAGATGGTGTAAGAGATAGACAAGATGTTTTAGATCAGTGGAATAAGAGCATGAGTAGTGTACTTAATCTAAACATTGATGGACTTCTGAAAATTTCTTAAACTATATCGAACATAGTTTTTATGGTTGTGTAGAAGACTGATATGATGGTATAGATGAAAAAGTCAAAGCTACATTAAGAGCTAGTGAATCTCCTACTAGAATGTTTAGACAGTTGTGTCAATACATTGAGTTAGAATTCATTGGTTCGAGAGCTGATCCTAATGAAAAACGAATTGAATATCAAAGAAAGTTAAGTAATTTGTCCATTTGCAATATGAAATATGTTGAGAGCTACATTATGGAGTTTGAAACATATTATTATAAAATTGATGAAAATGAAACAAACCTTGGAATGTTCTATGACAAATTACCAAGTCCTCTTAATGAAAAAATTAGTGAAAAATATCAAGATTGGAGAGAGAAATTCTTATCTAGGGATGCCCTTGGTGATAGAATAGATTTTCTAAGAAAATGGATTGAAAGGAAATGTAGAGAGGTTGCAGGAACTCAACAAATGAAGAGACAATTTCTCACTTGTTGGGATTTCCCAAATAACTATGGATGTGAAAGAAAGAATTATAACAAGAGAAAAAATTATAAGAAAAATAAATTTGGTAGATCGAGAGGAGAAACCTATAAAAAGTGGTACTATAAACATAAATATAGGAAACCTAGTAGGTTTTTCAGAAAGGCAACATATTGTCGTGAGAAAAAAAAAACATGTAAATGTTGGTCTTGTGGAGAATTAGGACACTATGCTAATGAATGTAAGAAAGCTAATCATAAACTAATGGAAGCCTTAGGTAGTTGGGATTACATAGAAATACTAGAAGAAGAGACTTTAGAACTGGCTTTGAGTAATAATAAAGGAATAGTAGAAATAATAGAGGAAGAAAAATGAGAATAATGAAGAACCTGAAGATAGTGAATTTGAAGATGAAAATTATGAAGAAATAAATAATATGATGGAAGAGGAAGTATTAGAAAACTCATAATCAGATGACGATGAAGATAAAAGCAAAATGACTATAGGTCAACTAAAAAGAGCTGAATATTCTATTGAAGATAAAGACCTTGATCAAATGAACAAAGAAAGTTGGAATTTTCCCCAGTTTACTAAAGATAAAATATTTAAAACTTGTTTCTTTAAAACTAGAACTAAATATGTATGTGAAGAAATGGAAGGAAGTATACTAATCGAAGATTGTGAAAAGAAAGCAGCAGAAATTAATATCATAAACTGGAAAAGCATTAAAAAAAACATATATATATAAAAAAAAAATAAAAAATAAAGGAGATTATAATTATATTTGCATTGGTGCAGTACAAGTATACATAACTCATTTACAAGATTTTGGCAAGGATGTTAATTGCTTAAGTTTTGTTTTTGATGTTAGACATCAAGAGTTTTATGATCAAATAATTAGTGGTGTCACATGTAACTTAAGTCAAGGAACAGTAAGCTATATATGTGAACCTATATATTATGTGAGCTTAGGATTCTTTTGCTTCAAAGTTTTTAGTTATCAAGCTATTAACTAATGGAGTGAAAATGTATAAAGGAACTCAACCTATACAAATAAGATGGAAGGTAGTGTATAAGTTGGTTAATACTATAGACTCATCTTTCAAGAAACAAATAGTTGATGCTAAAAAATATGAGCAAGGAGGAGGTCCTAAGAAGAAAATTACCAGTATAAAAGTAAACCCTAATGAAATCGAAATTGAAAAAACTTGGGAAGAATTCTTCATGAATCCTGCTGTTAATAATAGGTCAAGTTGCTAATTGATGAATAAGGATTGCTTCATATTGGGATAACTACAAAACCTAAAATACAAAGAAGTATGAGTCTTAGATCACCAAGGTAGACAAAATTCAACTATAGTAAAGATGAAAAAACAGGTCGATGAAAAGCCAAAAGAGGATGAAGAGGAAATATTAGCTTTAATAAAGAAGCTAAATGAAAAATATGAAACTAAGAAAGCCGTAAACAACCAGCAAAACTTAGTATTGATATTGGTTCATATTCTAATTTAGAGATAAATGAAGATCTAAATAATCCTATTATTGACAAAAGAAAGGTAATTGGATACAAGACCAAAACTGTAAGTGAACCAGTATATGAAGATGAAGTTAATATGCAAATGGAAGCTTGTAACGAAATATCCAATACTAATCCTAATAGCATTTATATTCCAATTGATATATGCATTGAAGATCATAATAAATATAAATTATGTGCATATATTGATAGTGATTATACTCTCCATGCACCCAAACCGTCGATCAAATTATCTTTACTATTAATGGTCACTTTGTCCTATACAGAAAATAACAAAGACTTATACTCATCAGACTATGGAATTTACGCGCAGCCAGCGTGGTGATAGGGTTACACCTACACAACGAGAGGTTGCACTTAGAATTTCTGAGTGTGAATCATCCTTAATAGATCAGATAAGTAAACAACAAGAAAATTTATGTGAAAAATTATATTCAATAAATCCATTAGAGCATTAGGAAAAGAATAAAGCATTTGCTAAGATAACTCTAACAAATCCGAATAAGATTATTAGAGTAAGACAAATGGTTTATACCTACTAAGATTTATTGGAATTTGATGAGCAAATAAAAGAATTGCTAAATAAGAAGTTAATTAGGAATAACAAGAGCCCTCATAATAGTCCAGCATTTATGGTAAGAAATCATGCAGAAGAAAAAAGAGGTAAAGCTAGAATGGTCATTAATTATAAATAGCTAAATGATAATACTGTGTTTGATGGCTATTACATTCCTAATAAAACTGTGTTATTTAATAGAATACAAGGAGTCACATGGTTTTCTAAAATGGATTGTAAGAGTGGTTACTGGCAAATTAAAATAGAAGAAGAAAGCATTCCATTAGCTACCTTTAGCGCCCCTCAAGGGAATTATGAATGGTTAATGATGCCTTTTAGATTAAAAAAATATTCCACAAATATTTCAAAGAAGAATGGATAATATTTTCAGATAGCTTAATCATTGTTGTTTAGTTTATATAGATGATATTCTAATCTTCTCAAAAGACTTAGAGCAACATAAGAATGATCTTAAAGGTGTAACTCTAAAATGTGCTGAGCATGGTACAATCCTTGGAAAGGATAAGTGTGTCTATGCTAAATAAGAAATTGAGTTTTTAGGAGAAATTAAGGCAGGACAAATAATTTTACAAAAACATATCTTGGAAAAGATTGAAAAATTCCCAAATGAAATTGAAGATAGAAAACAACTAGAAAGGTTTCTAGGGTGTTTAACCTATGCTTCTGATTTCATAAAAAATCTTTCTCTATTAAGGAAACCATTACAACAAAAACTTAAGAAAGAAATAACTTGGAACTGGAAAAAAAGTGATTCCAAATTGGTTCAAGATTTAAAAGCTATATGTAAAGTTCTTCCTGTATTGACACTCCCTACTAGCGAAGATGATTTAATCTTTGAAACAGATGCTAGTAATGAGCACTGGAGTGCTGTGTTAAAAATCAAAGAAGGAGAAAGACTTTGCAGATACAGTAGTGGAAGTTTTAATAAAGCTGAGTTAAATTATCCTATAATGCAAAAGGAAATTCTTGCAGTCATTAGAGGGATCGAGAAGTTCCTAATCTTCTTAGCCCCTAAACATTTCTTAATAAGAACAAATTGCAAAGGCATACTTGGTTTTGTTAAAAAGAATTTGTCTAAAGTGCAAGAGCAAGGGAGACTACTGTGTTGGCAATTATGGCTTAACCAATTTTCTTTTACTGTTGAACATATTCAGGGACCAAAGAATTCTTTGGCAAACAGCTTGACTAGAGAATTAGCTAATGTCAAAGAAGCTCAAGGCAACACAAAAACCTTTGGCAAACCAACTTCAAAAGATGGATGTAGAGAGGAAAACTCTCATTGATGAAACGGAAAAAGCAATGGAGCGGGTTTCACCCTCTAGTTGGGCCTTAATGCAAGGCTTGATCATTTCAGCAAAACAAAGATCACAAGATGGGTTAATCAAGGGTTGCCATCGATCAGTCCAAAGGTTATTGATGTTTGAAGTAACAATCATGTTATTTCAACTCATCCCTGATATATAAAATATAATACTCGATAAAATAAGAGATAACGATTTAAGAACATGGTACGAGCTAGTAGTAACAAGATCCAGTCGATTTTTTAGATGTTTGAGACCTATGGGGAGAACGAGTAGTGTTTCCTACTAACTCTAAAGTGGCATCATTACACATCAATCCATATCAATCCATATCCTCTTACTCGAGATGCTCCATTCATTTGGATACATTACAAAGCCTGGGATTTCGGAATGGTATATGTCTTTCACGATTTCCCTACTCCTAATGACTCTTTCTTTTCAAAGCTTACGAAGTTCTAGCAATATGCATTCAATAAAGTCCGAAAGTTTTGTGATGACAAAAAAAAAAAATCTTCAACTAGAAGCGAGGGTGCAATGTGCGAACATTGAAGTTGTAGAAGGAAAAGTCAGTCCGCCTCATTATTTGATAATGTTTGGAAAAGTGGCATTTAGTACTCAAGATCCCATAATAGTTCGTCAGAAAACTTTTAAAAATCCTACTGAAGCAAGAGCATTGGGATTTTTCTATATTTCACAATATCTCAACAATTTTATAAAAAGAATCGAAAATCCTCCTGTTATAATTCATGTTGGTAATACCACAATTGTGGCACCAAACGAGATGAGAGAATATTTAGTAGATGGCATGAACAATACTGAGTCAATCTACAAATATTTAGAAGATGTTGAAAGTGGAAAGTTTCTATCCTTCGAAGGCCATGAGTATCTGTTTGAAGCTTTCATGACATGGGATGAATCATATGCTGCCAAATGCGTTGTAGACTTTGGCATAGAAGAAGACAACCCCATGTACGTCCACTATGAAGACAATAAAGATAGTGAAGGAGGCCTACAAAATACGATGATGGATGAGATAATGAATTTCTGAGCCCACATCAGCAATAATTCAGTTTATTTCCACTATAGCCATGTTTTATTAATTATTACTGTGTTATAGTGTCTTTGTAAAAAGGAATGGTGTAGAGTGGCTTGCTAAGAATCTTATGTAACTTTAGTTTCCCTATATAAAGGGACTTAGGCCAAGAAGTGAAGGTAGAGTTGGAAGAGTTGGCCAGAGAATTCCTCTGAAAGCATTAGAGAATCCTATGTAACTTTAGTTTCCCTATATAAGGATTCACTAATGCTTTTAGAATTCCTCTGAAAGCATTAGTGATTCCTCTAGAGAAAAATACTCACCTTAAGAGACAGATTGGTTCTCCATCTCTCTTAAAGTAGAGAAAACTCTAGTTCAGCTTATGTCTGTTTAAGCTTTCAGTCAGTGTGTTGTAATATATGAGTGCCGTAATCCTTTTAAATTAAATAAAAGTTTCGTTCAAGAAGGGAACGTTACCCCCTTGAACCTTATATATCAAATGAGTTATTTTTCTGTTTAAGAAGTTCCATTATAAACAAAATAAGAATTGTTTGATTAGAGATTACGGTCTAAGGTAGGATACGAATTAGATCTGTGTTGTGCTTGATCTAAGGAAGACAGGGTTGGGGTTAGCTATCTTGGTAAAGCCGCAAGCTCAGAACGTCGGAGGTTCCAGTGTCGACTAAGTTTAGGTATTGGTCAAAACTCTCTAGTTTAATGATTATTATTGCGAAGCATGGTGGGCTATTAAACTAAAAAGTTAACTTGTTTAGATATATAAGTAGTAGAGTTGTGATAACTAGTACCGTCAAAAGTCATTAATCGAAAAACAAGTGATTATTACTCTTAATTATAAACCGATATTGTTAAGTATTTCCTTTAGTAGTACTAATAATATCATCAGTGGTATAATATAAAGTGTGGGTAATATTATTTGAAGTTTCAGTAGTATTATAAAGAATCCTAGTAGTATTGTCTAAAAGTCCAGTTTAAAAAAAAAAAAAAAAGAAAAAAAAGGACCACTTGTTATGTATATGCATATACCTATTTTGCTAGTTTTGAGGGAAAATTATACACATACAACCATTGTATGCTGTCTCTATATACAACACCATTAGAAATTTGACACATCATCAAAAGAGGAGAGAAAATTAGGAATCAAATATAAATTGAATTTTCATGGAACTTGGGCCCATTATTCAAGCCAATAAAAACATGATAAATTAAAGTTGTATGTAGGGACTACATACAACAATTGTATGTGTAGTCTTTACCAATTTTGAATAGTAAGACTAGTACTCTGTAGTCCGTAACACATTAATATAAGCGATTTGAACTAATAATGTAACGACTTGACTTGTATAAATTATGTAATAAGGTATTAGTAAGATTTCGACCTTATAACTAGGGTGCACAGGTCAATTTCCACTGTAGTCTGTAAGCTCTTTCTTTGTGGGCAATTATGTTCTCATTCTTCGCCAAAGCTCCCCTGACTTGTAACGCCAAACAAAATTGTTTTGTAAGAAGGCCTTTTTTTTTTAAACCAGATTTTCCTATCATTTCTTGTTTAAATTTCCCCAAAACTAGGAAAGTAAAATCATTCATGTATGTTAATTTTGTTTAATGATAAGATTGTGATCAACCAACAATCCTTTTAAAAAAGAAAAACTACTTATAAGAAATATGCAGTACAGTAGTATAACAAATTTAAAATGAAACAATATATAATACCCAATGCTTGAACTGTACACTCGGGTGCACCATGCGCATGGTACACCCGGTTAAATTAAAAAAAGGCGGAAAGAACATCTTGTGTTTCACAAAGAACATACATGTGTTTGACAAAGAACATGTTTGCATTTGACAAAAACATGCATTACCAAAGAACATAAAGATGTAACAAAACGAACGTGATAAAAACTTTATTCAAATTTCCTGAAAATTACACATTAACGGAAAAAATCTAGAAGTGATAAAAAATCGGGTCGGGCCGGCCTTAACATAATTCCTCGTGCCCAAACCCGTAAAAAATAGCGGGCTTTTCGGACAGGGTTTGGGTTTCAACTTAAATGCATTTCTAGGCTTTCCCAAACCCGTCCTATTTTCGGGACAGATCGGACCGTGCTAGCGGATCGGGCGAATGTTGATCACCTCTTAAAAAATCTTTACCAAAGATATCATTTCTCCAAAAAATATTTTTTTTCTCTCTCTCTGAAAATTCAACTTCCCACAACAATTTTAGTTTTTTCTATCTAATATTATTTTCAATTAAAAGTAATTTAAGATTTCATTTTCAAATTTTCAAATCACATATGTTAAATGAACATATTTTATAATGTAAAGATTAAAGAACATGTAGTTCATACCTAAAAAACACACTGATGATCAAACTCAAAGAACATACGATAATAAAAATAATTTAAATGACATGTGATAATAAAAATAGAATTTAGTGCATCACTACCTTAAAGAATCATACGAGCCAAATTTAAAGAACATACTTTGTATTATTGAAACCCAAAAAACATGTATGTTTAATCAACATATGTTAAATAACATAAGTTATAATGTAAAGAACATATAATTATACCCAAAAAACACACTGATCACACTAAAAGAACATATTAAAGGTATGTTCTTTGTCAAACATAGGTATATTCCTTTAGGTATATTCCTTATCAAACACTGTATGTTCTTTCCGCCTTTTTTTGTTTACCCGGGTGCACGCATGGTGTATTATCCTATTTTCATACAATACCCTTGATGATGATCAAGGTGATCCATTCATGCTTTACAAAGATGAACATACGAATAATACAATGTATGCAACTGTTATTCATACAAGAATACTATCACCATCATGAACATTCTTTCAATAAAAAATAAAATATAAAAATGCCATCCGTACTGCAAACCCCCGAGTCTGCAAAGGTAGTAGAGGTCATGCCCAAGGGTGCCCACGACAAATGAAGGACAACCCATTTTAAGGTCACTGTAAATTTGACTAATCCCATAAATATCGGTATAATTATGCTATGGCTGTGTAAGGCCTCGCTCTTGTCCAAAGTGATCCCTGGGAAACATTGGAAGGTGAATTCTTTCATGTTATGATGGTGCAACCACCAACAGCTGAAACTTTCTGAGCATGCAACTGAGGATTGTTCACTTGACCTAGTCTGAAGTTTCCACACCCAGTTGAAAACCATAACAGGAGATGGCAGAATTCTTTCATGACCACTTGACCAGCATCAAGCTTCTAAAGCTATCCAAAACAACCAAATTGCAACTTCCTTTGCTTCAAGGACCATTCAAGTGTTCATCTCAATCTAATGTTAATAGCCTGGAAAACAGGTACTATGCAGAACAGAAGATTTATAAACATTCGATGATATGCAAAAACATGCTGTTAATATCAAGAGATATCACATTAGATTAAGCAAACAGAAGCAATTACTTCAAATATCAGCCAACTAGACTTCAAACACTCTGGAGTAAATGAATACACCAAGGACAGACTGAGCAGACAACCCTCCCTATAAAACACCAACAAGGTTTCCAAAATTCGATCATAAGCAATGCAAAAATACCGCATTAGATATCACAATAGCTTAAGCAAACGAAGCAATCCCTTCAAATACCAACCAACTAGACTCAGACACTCTGGATTAAATAAATATACCAAGACCAGGGGCGTACTTATTAATGAAATACAGGACTCTTAAGTGAGCAGACAACCCTCCCTAAAAAACCTTTCCAAAATTCAATCAGAAGTAATGGATGAAATACCCCAGCAAGCAATTACTGCACATATCATATTGGATAGCGTCTATGTAACAGGCATCGATATTGACTATATCCACACAGATGAGGAATCAATGAAGAATAATCTACAAAGAACTAAAATGGCAATCAATTACACTAGACCATTTCCACATCCAACACGTGGCAGAAGGATACCTTGTTTAGCATTCAATTACACTAGACCCCTTCCTCATTTGTTCAGCCAATGTTTCAACATAAATACCATTGCTTCTATTCTAAATCCTACACCGATTTCCGCCTTTACAAACATATAGTTCAGCAAGATTGATAGATGATAAGTATACTAATAAACTCTATATCTGCTTGTCTGCTTGATAGAGATCTTATACCCTGCAATACACTATATATACTGTGAAACAACTACATGCAACAGAACCCTATATCTATTTAATAGCTCAAAAGTTACTTTGTTGTGCTGAACAAAAGCACCAAAATAAAAGGTCACAAATGAACCAAACATTTACCATCTTAATTTAAAGAAAAAAGAAAAAAAATTAGATACCCAAGAACCTCAAATTCAAGAATACAAATTTAACATCAATAAAGCTTACACCATTGTTCACGTAAAAGTTAAAAAATTGCATGCAAATAATAATTTCAAGCATTTACATAAATAATCTCATTACATATAACCAAAAAAAATAATCATACCATTACAAATTTATAATTACCGTAGCATCCATCCTCTGTTTTTGAGGTTTCTTTGGTGGAGAGGGGGTAAACTGGAGGCTCAGATCTTCATTTCATCGAACAATTTGGCAGGACATTAGAGGTGGGAAAATTTCAACCATGGCGGCAATTCAATCAATTCCACAAAAACCAAACACCAATAACAAGAATTAGGCTCTGTTTCTTTTGAGCTGAACTTTAGTGCAAATAATGAACTGAACTGAAAGCCACAAGGGCGTGATGAGAATTGATGTGATCAATCCCCTTGAATCGGGAAGAAAGCTCTAACCACCTGAGCTCACTCTCAACTGATCTGAACTGTTAACAAGTCCAAAAGAACAGGACCATAGGGTTCCAGCAGTGCAATTTCGCCAAGCCAAATGGTTAAAACTTACCCTGCACCTTAAACATTCCAAAGCCAAACAATCGATTACTTTGAATGGACTCATCACAGCCTCATTTATTTATTTATCTATTTGTTTATGCATGTATATACATATATATGTCTGGACTATGGAGTACGTTGAGGTGAATAGGGTGAGCATAACAGAGCCAAATGATCAGAGATTCAGAGGTGCCAGATAAAAGAGAGAGAAAGAGCGCAAAATTTTGAAATATCTCTTTGATTTCTGAGAGGGCTGTTTTCACAGTGGTCGGAGAAATCACCGGTTATCACGGATGAGGGGCAAAATGGTCCTCAGAAAACTCCCAATGCCTCTCCCTACCTTATTCTTAACCTAATGATATTGCTGAACAAAGACCCTGAAATACAAAAGCAACAAATATTAAAAATTCATTATTATTATCAGCTAATCACAACAACATAATTCAATAACTACACCTAACTAGAAATAAAAATTGGAATGCCAAATTCAATTATTAAAAACCAACATTTATCACAAATAATCAGATATGCAGAAATACCCAACAACCTCACCACCTAAAATTGAGTAAATATTCAACTAAATAAACCTTTCACACCCTAAAACAAGCCCTTCTCAAAATAATAATTTTAAGACCACAAGATCACATGCAAACAAATTATTCATGACCTTTTATCAACATAATCATCACATCATATACTCCGAGTATTCAAATAAAATTACAAAAATAAAATAAAAATGTAACATTGTAGAAGTAATACCTTTCCAACAATGGAGCTTCTAAATCTTTCTTTCTTTTCTTCCAAGAGGCTCAGATCCACATTTCATCAAACAATTGGGTGGAACATTAAGAGGTGGGAAAATCAACCATTGCAGCAAATTAATCAAATTGGGCCCAAATAATTTCCAACTGAACAAAAACCCACAAAATAAAAATAAAAATAAAATAATACCGAGTTACCAACATTTGATTTTTCTGCCAAGCCAAATAGAATAGCCACCCAAAACCCTCAAAATTTCTCCAAACCCAAATTTGATTTGACTACTTTATACAGTTTTCACTCATCACAGCCTCTACTGGTTGATGATTGTTTTTAAGGTAAGAAGATAGAGATGCATGCAGACAGGAGAGTTACAAAGTAAACCCACATAGACAGATACAGCTAAGGGTCCAGTGAGCTACGATGTGAGGACCGTTTTGATGGTAGTTGGAGAAATCACTGGCTAAAGATGACCTCTATTGATGGTAGTTGCCTAGGGAGGGGGGCAAAACGGTCCTCAGGAAACTCCCATGGCCTCTCCCTAAAGTAAACCACAGGACTATCCCTGAGCAAGGGCATGAGGGGTCGCTGCCTTGGGCCCAGGGAGAAAGGTCCATTTTCATGGTTTTGTCCTGACATTTAGAACATCATGGACTGAATCATACATTGATGCTTACTCTTAGTTCTCCATTGAAGCGGCTTCTAAGGTAAGATTTTTTTTTTCAATCATTGAATATCAATTTCACAATCTAGGGTTGATCATTAATTTAATTGTCAATATTAATCAATTTAGGGTTCTTCCAAGGTGGATTATTTAACTATTCAGCATAAATACTTGAAAATTTTAACTTTCATGATTGACTAAATTATCAATACATTGCAAACTTAGGTTTATATAAACCTTGAATGTCAACTTTTCACAATAAAAATGGCCCAACTTAAACTATTAACATTGATTACACAATTTCATAATAATTAAACAAAGAGATAAATTAACTTGAAAAAGATGTAGAAAAAGTTACATGCAAATAATACTTTCATTCATTTACACCAGTTATCTCACTACACATAATAATTCAACAATGAAACAAAACAACAACTTAAATCACATGCAAATTATACTTTTCATGCATTTACCTTAATAATCTCATTATATACAACAAAACAATAATAAAAAACAGTAAATAAATATATAAAAATAGCCAACCACTTGAAACATCAGCATTGTTTACACAATTTCATAATAATTGCACAAGTAGATAAAGTATACTCCTTCAATAAAAATGTAGAAAAAATTACATGCAAATAATACTTTAATGCAATCATGCATTTACATTGATTATCTCGTCACACACAATTACAAAGAAACAACTTGAAACATCAACATTACTTACACATTTTAATAATTGAGCAAAGAAATAAATCACACTTCAACATAAATGTAAGAAAAAACTACATGCAAACAATACTTTCATGCATTTACATCAACAATCTCATTACACATAGTAAACCCAAAAAAAAAAAAAAAAAAAAAAAAAAAAAAAAAAAAAAAAAAAAAAAAATCATACCATACTTATTGCCGTAGCATCCTCTGTATCTGGGGGTTATTTGGTGGGTGGGTAAAGAGGAGGCTCAGATCTGCATTTCATTGAACAGCTTGGCGGCACATTCTCGAAGTTGGAAAATCTCAACCATGGCGGCAACTCAATCAAATCAACAAACCCACAAATCCCACAAACCAAACAACCCCAACAAAATTAGGGTTCCAACAACAACAATAACACAATTCCGATTGCTGCCAAGCCAAATATCAAAATTTAACCCAAAATCGAAGAACATTCCAAAAACCAGACAATCAATTACTTTGAATTGACTCATCACAGCCTCAATAATTAATAATTTGATTATGTGTGTGTATATATATGTACATAGTACAGTTTATTGGGTTTAATATGGTGAATGATGAAGAACAGAGCCAAAGTTCAGAGATCCAGAACAGCCAAAAAAAAAAAAAAAAAAAAAGAAGGTAAGAGAAAGAGAGCAAAATTGTGGAAATTAAGCTCTTCGATTTCTCATAAGGCCATTTTAATATTGGTTAGAGAAATCACCGGCTAAAGATGACCACCGTACACGGTGGTTATCAAGGAAGAGTGGCAAAACGGTCCTTGGAAAACTCCCAATGCCTCTTCCTGCCTCATTCTTAAACTACTTACAACCATGGCGGCAAATTAATCAAACAGCGTGTTTTGTATGCGGATGGCGACACCATGTGGCTATGGCCAATTGTAGAACAAAGTAACCCCTTAATACTAACCGAGTAACCCATATAACACTGACAAAGTAACCCCTACAATGTAAGGACCGTTTTGATGGTAGTTGGAGAGATCACTGGCTAAAGATGACCTCCATTGATGGTAGTCGTCTAGGGAGAGGGGCAAAACAGTCCTTGGGAAACTCCCATGGCCTCTCCCTGCCTCACTTTTGGTAAACCACAGGACTATCCCTGAACAAGGGCAGGAGGGGTCACTGCCAGGGAGAAAGGTCCATTTTCATGGTTTTGTCCTGACATTTAAAATATCATGAACTGAATTATCCATTGAAGCGCACTCTTAGTTCTCCATTGAAGCAATTTTTGAGCTTTCTATCCTCAATTGAAGCAGCTTCTGTGGTAAGATTTTTTTTTTCAATCATTGATTATCAATTTCACAATCTAGGGTTAATCGTTAATTTTATTGTCAGTATAGTCAATTTAGGGTTCTTCCAAGGTGGATTATTGAACTATTGAGCATAAATACTCAAAGAATTTAACTTTGATAATTGAGTCAAATTTGGTTGCCAATGCGTTGCAGGCTTTGGTTTATATAACCCTTGAATGTCAACTTTTCACACTAAAATTGACCAACTTAAAACAATAACATTACACAATTTCATAATAATTGAACAAAGAGATAATTTAACTTGAATATAGATGTAGAAAAAGTTGCATGCAAACAATACTTTCATTCATTTACATCAATTATCTCACTACACATAATAAATCAACAATAGAACAAACCAACAACTTAAAAACATCAACATTGTTTACACACTTCAATAATAATTGAACTAAAGATAGATTACACTTCAATATATATGCAGAAAAATCACATGCAAACTATACTTTTCATGCATTTACCTTACCTTAATAATCTTATTACACACATTAAAACAACAATTAAAAAAAAATTAATAAAAAAAAAAAAAACAATAAAAAGAAACCAACAACTTGAAACATCAACATTGTTTACGCAGAAGAATAATTGCACAAGTAGATAAATCATACTCCTTCAATATAAATGTACAAAAACATACATGCAAATAATACTTTCATGAATTTGCATTATCTCATCACACACAAATTTTTGTAAAAAAAACCTTAAAACATCAACATCACTTACAAAATATCTTAATAATTGATCAAAGAGATAAATCATTCTTCAACATAAATTTAAGAAAGAATTACAAGCAAACAATACTTCATGCATTTACATTAACAATCTCATTACACATAATAAACCAAAAAAGTGAAAAAATCATACCATACTTATTACCGTAGCTCAATCCTCTGTATCTGGGGTCTATTTGGTGGGTGGGTAAAGAGGAGGCTCAGATCTGCATTTCATCGAACAGTTTGGCGGCACATTCTCGAAGTGGGAAAATCTCAACCATGGCGGCAACTCAATCGAATCAATAAACCCATAAATCCCACAAACCAAACGACCCCAACAAAATTAGGGTTTCAACAACAGCAACAGAATAACAACACAATTTCGATGGCTGCCAAGCCAAATGATCAAAATTTACCCCGTATCAAAGAACATTCCAAAAACCAAACAATCGATTACTTTGAATTGACTCATCACAGCCTCAATAATTAATTAATTTGATTATGTATGTATGTATATATATACGTAGTAGTGTAGTACTGTTTTCTGGGGTTGAATATGGTGAATGATGAAGAACAGAGCCAAAGTTCAGAGATTCAGAGCAGCCAAAAAAAGAAAAGAAAAAGAAAAAGAAAAGGTGAGAGAAAGAGAACGAAATTGTGGAAATTAAGCTCTTCGATTTCTCAGAGGGCCGTTTTAATGGTGGTCGGAGAAATCACCGGCTAAAGATCACCGCCGTATACGGTGGTTATCAAGGAAGAGGGGCAAAACGGTCCTCGGGAAACTCCCACGCCTCTTCCTGCCTCATTCTTAAACTAATGAGATTGTTTGGAAAAACCCTAGTTTTTCGGATTTTATAGCGATGCTGGTTAGAAGAGGAAATGTCAATTATACCCTCTTTGAATGAAAGTATAGGTAACACACTACACTTCCCTAGAAGAGAACCTTAAGACTACCTGAGGCTGATTAAAGAAAACATGCTAATTAGAGTTTTTACAACAAATCTTAACTTTACCATCTATATAGATGAAGGAAACTTTATACTGATTGTCTTTTAAAGATTGCTTCATATCTCATGTTCATTATATTTACTACTAGTAATTCAGACCCGTTTACTTAACCTTATTTTTAAGAAACTAAAATTATTTGTTTCTACTGAACTGAAATTATTAAGAAAAGTGAGTCCCTAAAAATGCATTTTACTATCCCTTATTACAAGATAAGGGGCTGATTTTAGGATAATTGCTTATGTTTAACATCGGCCCAAATTTTTTCCCTCATTCCAGGCTTATAAAATTATTAATTACCCTAGGGGGTGGGTGGGTAATGTATTACCCTTACTTTGGAGTAAAAATTTCGGGCCCAAATTTTTTCCCAGGCTTATAAATATTAACCCATAATTTTTTAACCCTTATATATTCCTGCCCATTATCTGCAATCCAGGCAGGGCCTAGGAGTATTTTTGTGTTACATGAATCTCTTTCTCAATTAAACACTTGCAATTCAAATAAATTTACACAAACACTTCCAAATTTTGGGACCATACAATAATCACTTTACTGATTATTTCACTTTACATAAGATACAATGTTTCATTGAACCAAATAAAATCTAACATTCTCCTGGAACCAACACGCTTCCTGTAATCCTGTGTATTTCTTCATCAATGTCTCAAAATGCGTAAAAATGGTGCAGGTTAATTCAGAGCACATCCAAGTGAATAGGTGAGAGTTCAGCTCATGAAGGAGAACTTCATCAGCAGTTGGTGGTAGGCGTCAAGAAGAGAAAACTAAAGACCACAATCAGATGGCCTGAAAAAGAGAAAACTACAGACCATCAGATAAGCTGCTGCCGGTTAACTGCAAGCATCCTTAGATTACTTGACCTGCGGGTTGGTTACTCTAATGCCTGACTAAAAACAATGCAACCAAAATCTCCAAGAGATTAATGTAAAACATACAGGAGTAATAAAGATTCTCTCTTGACCACAGTAACGATGTTTCATGATTGTCTAGAGCTTGAAAAGGCAAAATAGCCATTTCTTGAAACACCCAATGTTTCTCAGAGCTTCATTTTTAAGGATAGAATATTTTGAAACTGTGATTTCTCGGAAAATAACAGTTAAGAAAAGAAGGGAAAAAAAAAGTAAGAAGAGGTGTAGCTTTGATATTAGAGAGGAACCAAGTTGTAAATCTTATTGCTATCATCATGACATGATAACAGAAAGAGACTAGCAACAAAGGGAACAGAACAAAAAAAGAGAAAAAGGGCATACTCTTTTTCAAGCCATTATCAAAGGTTAGAAATTACCGGCTTTTGTATCTGGTGATAAGCCTAGCCAGCCACAATGACCATCAAAGAGAAGAGGCAAACAGCTTTCAAGATACACAGCCATTCCAAGTCTCAAACAAGAGCACATAATAAAATTAAAAACTAGAAGATGATAAGATAATGACAGACAGTAATGTGGCCATGTCTTAATAAATACTCCATAAAAAGGCAATCCAAAGCATTGTATACTTGTATAAATTTCACATCATTTCAACATCTGAAAAGCATGCAACACCAACAAGCATATCCAGTGAAATTAAAACGAGGCTCAGATTCGCCTTTGATCAGGCAGGAGACAAAAGTCAGTAGTCAATAACCTGGCGGCAACTCAAGTAAAGCTTCAGCTCACTGCCAAGCCCACGGTAAGCCTTCTATCTTTATTTCTCCAGCCCCAGTGAGAAAGCACTTCCTCCATCTTTTTAGTCATTCAAAATGTTGTCATAGTCAGACTTGTTAAAATGACTCATGTACCCAAGAAAACATGGGGAAAATACCAATATACCCCCTTGATATATATATATATATATAAAAAAAAAAAAAAAAAAAAAAGATATCTTCATGATCAACTTGTATTTTCTCCTACCTTCCCAACAACAACAAAGCCTTAGTCCCAAAATGATTTAGGGTCGGCTAACAGCATAACATGAATCATGAGGAACCGTTCGAAAGGAAAAAGAGCATAGCAAAATAATCGATTGAATAAAAGTTGAAAAAGGTGTGTAAAGTGAAAAACGAAAAGAGTATACAAATAAAATTTACGAGAGTTTAAAGAAGTGGCAAGGGGATAAAAAGGATAGGGAAAACATGTGAGTTAAAAACATAAAGGTTTGAGAAAACATAAAGGTGTGCTATCTTCCCACTAAAATTTATTCACAACAAAAAGGCTCAGATTCGCCTTTGATCAAGCATAAGGAGACAAAAGTCTGGTAGTCAGTACCATGGCGGCAAATCAAGTAGAGCTCGTCAGCTTTACTGCTGCCAAGCCAATGGCACGACCCTATTTATGTATCTCCAGCGCCAGTCTACTTATTGAAGTAGAATTTTTTTATCATCACAGCCTCAGAATTTCAGGAACAACAAAAGGCCAGGTATATACTCCGTTGTTTTATGTGTCCCAATTTGACCAGCAAATATGCCAACTATACATTGAGACAATTCTAAGAAGTACCCCGGACAGACTATGTTTAATCTTATCACAATATGACACCAACAGACTTCATTGTAGTCAGCATTCAAATGAAATCACTTTTCCCTTTTACCTGATTTCACTAATCTGAACTTATTGTAGTAGTGAAATGAATCTCCTGGAGCTGAGTTTGGGAGAAATCATTCAACGGGGCAAAGAAATTTGATCTCCTTTGAGAAAAGATGTCCAGGAAAGTGTTTGCTTCTTTCTTCTCTATCCAAGCAATGAGCCATGATCTTTCCATGACAATGCCAATTGAAAAAAGGGAAGAAACACCAACAGCCTCCAAAAAGTTGATAGCATATGACAAAGCTACAATTGAAATAGAGAGGCATTACCTCCAGAAAGTTGATAGCATATGACAAAGCTACAATTGAAAAAGAGAGGCATTACTAACATCCTCTGGATTGCAAAGCTCTAAATCTAATCACAGCATGAAGTTTTTTTAACAAGTAGCACGCAAAAACGAACAGTCAATGGCAACTAAACTGATTCTCATCAATCCTCACAGAGAGAGCAAGAAGGTGAAGAGGAGAAACAACAAAAGGAAACACCTCAATGCAGAAAACCAACAGAACCCCCCCCCCCACCCTCCCTCCCACAGTAGTAAAAAAGCATGGGCAGCAAAATACAAAATTGATTCAAGAAATTGATTCAAATCATCCATATCCATGGCAGTCTCTAACTACCAACACTGGTGCTGCTGCTAATACTACCTCGACTTACGGTGACATGAATAAAGACAGGATTCCACAGGACTGTGTTCTAAGTTACTGAAACACACATTATTTAACAACATTTTTTAAACAAATTCAATAATATCAATAAGCAATACATATAAAAGATGTTTTAATTTAGTGAAAAGCTCAATGGAATTTTAAAATCACTTTAACAATTCAACACTAAAACTAAAACTTTCAAGCAGGCAACAAACTTACAATTAACCCATTAATGCAGGCTATGCAGCTATTATATACTACTCATTATAAAGCTACATATAAGCATAAGAGAAACAAGCTTACCATAATTCAAAAACCCATTAGCCACATCATCAACACTTCCCTCATAATATCTTCACCAAAACCTGCAATAAATCACATTGAAAAAAAAAACACATTACTTTCACCATTTCTGTAAAACTTAGCAAGAAACAATCACCACCCAAACAGCAAATTACACTCACAAGATCATAAACATGCAAAAATCACAAGCAAAACATAAAAACCCACATCATAATTTCATAAAACTTGATCTTTTTTCTTCCTTTTTTAGGGAGGTGTTTGGGGGAGGCTCAGATCCGAATTTCACCAAAGCTTTTTTTGGGGGAGCATTTTCAAGGTGAAGAAAATCAACCATGGCGGCAACCAAACAAGATCGACATTAACAAATATAAGATGAACTAAACAAAGCCTTAGTTTCCACTTTCCAGTCACAACCACCACCGCCGCCGCCGCCGTCACAACCACCGTCGCAACCAAAAATGCCGATCAAGTTGCTGCCAAGCCAAATGGAAAACTACCCACCTCGAAAAACACGATCAAAACCCAGAAAAAACTTCGATTAAATTGAACGATCGAATTCATCATAGCCTCAATGGAAAAAACGGAGGTAGTAATAATAATAATAATAATGAAGATGATAAATAAATAAATAATACGAAGTATAATACGGAGTAGTAGTAATAATTAGGCCAATTAGTGACCAAGTTTGATAGAAAGGGAGGAAGAAAGGGAAAGACAGTGCCATAATTGAAGAAGCTGATCCTTGTTTGAGGGCCGTTTTAACGGTGGTCGGAGAAATCATCGGCTTAAGATTACCGAACGCCGTAAACGGTGGTGGGTTATCAAAGCGAGAGTGGCAAACGGTCCTCGGAAACTCCCACGGCCTCTCCCTGCCTCATTCTACGTTGAGGAGCTTGTGATGCTCGTTTGCTTCTTTATATAAAAACCCTATTGTTTTGGGTTTTGCCCGGTTTGTGTGGGCGGTTTTGACCCGATTAATGTAAGAGCGGGTTTTAGGTGAGATCGTATGTTTAAAAAAAAAAAAAAAAAACTTGGATCTATGGAAAAAAAATTCTTGTGTGTTCCTGTCATAGTAAGTCACAAGTAAGTTCCCCCCAACTCTACCGCTTGGTTATAATTATTTTTTAGTGTGTTGGTTACATTAGAACTCTAAGCAATATTCTATGAAATTGATTTTTCAAAAAATCCACAATTCTATGCTTAATTTACTTATACAAGATGATCATGTAGAGCAACGAAGAGAACAAGACTTGAAAACCTATTTTTTTTTTTAATAAAACCTCCAACATTTTGCTAGCAACTCATACATGTATTCCCCTTTAGTTCATAAGGAGGCAAAAGAGCCACAAATTTAACCTCAATACAGTCAATCCCTCTAAGAGTTTTTTCAGTGCAACTGAATTCTATATAGTAATCAACAGCAAAATTACAAGTTAATCCCCTTGTCAGAAAAGACAGATAACTGTTGCAGAAACTTATGTTCATCCATTGATCCATACAAGAGTACAAGGTAATTACAATTCAAGCTTCAACTGTACACATTGTTTTAAGACATCTCCAATAACAACAATCCATGCTAAAGCCGATTCAGGAGCAGTCTCCACTCCTTAAACTCTGAAGGAGCTTCAAGTATCCGGTGTATTCAGGACATATATATCTGCAGATGCCATAACAGAAAAAGGGGGAAAAAAATAGTAATAAGACTAGCTATCAACAGCCAACCAAATAAACAGATTGGAGTGGTTATATAATCCCATTTCCAACACTTCCATTCAATATGATAAGATAAAACTAGCAATAGATAGATAGATTATAGAATACATACCCATGTCGGAAAAGGAAGTCAATGATGACAAGAGTACAATTTGACTTAAAAAATTGGGTTCTCTTAATCACATTTGCTACGTGTGGAACAGGGATCAACCTGAAGCTCTCCACCTCACCATCTGCCATATTTCCCAAAAAAAAAATGACAGGACAAATGAAATCTAATGGCATGAAAAAGGGCAAAGCCATCATTTTCAATATGGAGTACAATGACATTACAGCTTAGCCTGCCTACCATTATTATCAGGAACAAAATCTTCAGGAAGCTTGAGATCGTAACAGAAAAGAACATCTCTCTTAAGCCTATCTCCATTGATATCCATGTAAGAGACAGCCCCAACTGGTTCAACTCTGGGACACACAGAACACGATGCCATGAATACATTGATAAGGCAAGTTATTACTCTAGATGTCCAAGTCCAAGGGTCAAGGTGCACAGAAGAAATAAAAAATCCTAGTATATGACAACTTTGCAAAAGTTGAGCAGTAGCAGTTTTCTTAGTTAAACAATGTAATATATGTTTTACATGAAAAAAACAATATCAACTCTAGACCAAAAAGAGGGGATGGACAGATGGTTACTTTTTGGAGATGGATATGGATATTCCTGCTTCCTCTTCACATTCCTTCATCATATTCTCACCACAAGGAATTCCATGAGGCTGCAATATTTTCAAAGATGCTTGAGATAAAGAGTTAAACAAAAATAATTTGCCATGAGAAACATAGTAAGATGTACACTATCAAGACAAACAGAGATTATTGCAGGCTATAGGCTCGAGGGGTAAAATGGTAACAGTGAAACTAAGCTTTACGCAATCCGAGTATTACTACCTAGATTAACAAATGCTCAAAAAAACCAATGTTAAAGAGATTGGTCAAATTTGAGGACAAAAAAGATGCAGAATAGTCAAGCAAAAGAAAACATGGAGAAATCCACCAGACAGTGTATCTATGGCCAGGTATGAAAGTACTTAACTGAACCTTTAACTATGAAGAAAGCTCCAAATTCCTAAAGGCTCAAGAATTTCAAAAGGCAATAAAAAAAAACTAATTTAAAGATGAGATAAGATGGTAACTTTTAATTCTGTCTTTGAAAGATATTCCTGGACCCAAAGAGCAGATGTGAGATGTTAGCATAACAAATAGGAGTTCGAACACTATATAAAGAATGTCAACAATTGTTCACTAATTCTAAACTCCTTGCAAGTTTTGCTTAAGCCCCGTAAAACATCAAGCTGAAAGTTGCAACTAACCAATCCTCCAGCAACAAGATGATCAAGCATCCCTGGAAATGTGGACTTTGCTTGACTTCTCTTTCCCAGCCAAAGAAACTTCTGACCTTCTTTTTCAACATAGCCATTCATGTGAACTCCATATGCCTAAAATAAAAGGAAAATACAAAACCACATTAGTTTTCTTCTCTTCTGAGGAATTAATAAATAGTAGTTTAATTATGCAAAACAAATATAATTACTGTCTGGAGCAATACAGCTAGATTCACTGTGTATGCTAGAACCAACTTCAAATAGCAAAACAAGCATCACCTAGCAAGCTTTTGTTCTTGAATAAGTTTTGGGTGACTAGTCACACGATGCTAGTTCCAATCAACTATAATGCAGATAGACAATTGAAATTGGATGCATCACAGAGATACAGAACAGTGAGGTGGGCAGGTGACACATTGAATTTGGCAATTCTTGTTTCTCCCAGAATGGGGATAATAACTCCATGTAGTAGAGACCCAAAGAAGATAGGAGTTTGGAGCACTGAACTACCTCAACCTATTATAAGGTCGAAGCATCTACAAACTTCATGTACATACACTCAGCTCCTCATACAGCATTTCCAATTCTCTAGATGACTGTAAACTAGAAGTCAAAGCCCACTTATGCAAAAGACTGATCATCAGGAAAAAATATTCTGACTTGTATATATATATATGTTACTAGCAAGACAATGACAAATATAAATAGGAACAACAAGCCAAAGAAATGCTATTATCCAAGTACTATGACACTGAGGACCTTTTTTTAACTGATATGCAACAAGGTGACTAAGTGACAGAGACAAAAAAATATGGTTATCATAAGCAGCGATTATTTTACCTTTATTCCAAAATAAGGAGCCGCGGCACGTTCTAGTGAGAAAAACGCTCGCGTCCCAAAGCATGATGTAACAGGGTAGAGCTGGTTCAAGTCAATGTCATGCACAGTCATTACCCCATGGTTAGGAAAATATTCATTATTATATTAACAGATTAGTATAATTATATGTTATATCTCCGTAAGCTTCTAAACAAGTGCTGTACTGCTGTTTAAGAGTTATGCATAAAAAAAAGTGCCAAAAGTTTCCCTTATAAACATTATAGAAAAGATTGACATCATGACATGCAAATAAACTTGATATGGAACTGCAATAGAAATTCAATAAACTTATCTATTTAAATTGCAGAATAAAACTTATATTTACACATACATACATATACAGCAATAGTTTCCAAAATGTGACTTGATAAATATTTCGAGAACGTCTAAAAGGGGCAGTTCAGCAGATGGCACTTTGTATTTATTTGATTATTTCTCCAAGTTAGGCAATAAACATTCCACTAGAAATTCATGAAGAAGAGAGATGCAATGCTGAATAGTGTAGAACATAAAATGCTTGGCCATCAGAAATACCTCATTCCTAATACCTGGAATCAGTTCTTCTCCCAGGCAGTTGATTACATTAGCAACTGCAGAAGTCCTATCTTCAGGTGATTTTAGTTCTGGATTTAGTGTTATATGCCAGTCGAAATGACCATTGTGCAAAACATCTCGTGGGAACGAGAACACATCTTGGAACCTCCTCAAGTGGGCAGCAAATCTATAAATTGTCAAAGTAAGCTATTAGTTGACAGCTAATCTTCTAAAGGTAAGAGGATCAGGGGGATGTAAACAGCTTTAAAGTTTTCCAAATTGATTTTCACAGCATTTCAGCATCCATTTTGCATCTTAAAGTGGAAACCATATATTTTGACAGTAACCCTTTGTTGAAATGAACAGCTTTTATCAGCTCAGTCCAAGTTTGCCATTGTGATTTCGCGATCAAATGCCATCAGAATGCTAATCCAGATGGCAGTACAACCGCAACTAAGATCTTGGCCTCTTGGGTTTTAGAACGACTAAAGAACTAAAACTAAGTTATGTACAGCTCCAAACTCATGTGTCGCTGAATTATCCCTTAGCTCCAACTGTCTTGGCAATATAAAGAGTACTACTACTCCCCCAAATCCAGAATTAATAGTCACGTTAGTAGTGTAATCCAAACTAGAAATGCTAAAACTAATTCTAAACCCCTTAGCCCCAACTGTCTTGGCAATATAAAGAGTAATACTATTCCCCCAAATCAAGAATTAATAGTCATGTTAGTAGTGTAATCCAAACTAGAAATGCTAAAGCTTATTCTAAACCACTTAACCCCAACTGTCTTGGCAATAAAATAAATACTACTCCGCCACACCCGGAAATAATAGTCACTTTAACAGTGTAATTCAAACTACCAATGCAACAATTAAATTAATATTTTATACAACTGAAATGTCATTAAGATGTACGAGTAATTGCAAAATTACAATTAGCATCTGATAATTCCCAGGCATAATCTTCATCAATATCTAATCAAAGTTACATGAATTTTCAAATTCAAACAAGCTAATTACAATTACTGTAGCAGTAATCGACAGAGGAAGAATAAAGAGATTACCCATTATGTACATAACCAACAACTTGTTCTTCAAAAACAAATGGAACAAACTCACGCAATTTTTCCTGCAAATTAAATCCTAAAACATCGGTTCATCTTCATCACCCAAAAAAAACAAAAAAAATAAACAAAAAAAGAAGATAAAATTAGTTACCACATTTCGATTACAAGAGCTAACTTTATCAAAGAAACCAGTTAGGTCAGATGGGTCGGGTTTGGACTGACCAATTTGAATAACATCATCCCAAGTGAAGTTGTTCGTTGATGCAACAGTTGAATTTAGACCAGTGAAGTTAGAAGATGAATAGCCCAGAAATTGAATAAGTTTTGCTGGAGAAGATGATGGGGATTTTGAGAAGAGTGGAAAAGAGTGACTGAGATAGTTGGTGAGTGGAAGGTTTTTGCAAGCCATTGAAGCCCAAAAATGTTAATGCTTTGTCTCGAATAAGCTTAACTGCTTAAAATCAGGTACGGATTAGTAGTTGGAGTAGACCTTATCAATATAAACCCGGCTCGAAAAAAGTCTGCGTCTAGTCCTGGACGGTTCGAGTGGTTCAAGTGAATGATTTTTTTTTTGGGGATTTGCCGATTTGGATGTCATTTTAGGCTTAAATTTACATTAATCTAATCGCGTGGCTTGTATCTGTGTAATTTGATTTTAGTAACTCTGGGCAAATCTTTATAGCTTGGCTACATTTACTCAAATTGGGACATTTTTTTTTAACAATCTAGCCTATGATCACCTTATGAGATAATAATAATTTTTTTAAAGTATATAATAATTTTCATGAGAATGAAGTTGAGAGGTTGGAATTTTAAAAATGTCAATGGGATGAGTAATTTATTTGCTCAGTATTGAAAGGGTTTTAAGTAGATCATTTTATGCTATTGATAATTTTTTGTCATTTTAAGAGTTAATTTACTATGCCATATTGTCAATAAAGCTTAATTTGTAGATATTTCAAATTAGAAGTTCTAACGAGCGCCTTCCCAAAGTAAGGTTGGGAAGTAAGTTAATTCCCAAAATACAGCCTCTTTTTACTTTTTTCCCAATATACCGTCCACGTAAGCATTTTTCCAAAAACCGGTTTTTTTTTCTCCAGTCCAGCTTCAAGTAGCGGTTTATTAAGAACAAACCGCTACTTGAAGTGGCGGTCTCTTATTAGAAAACCGCGGTTTTTCCCAATAAACCGCTACTTGAAGTAGCGGTTTTCTAATAAGAAACCGCCACTTCAAGTAGCAATTTTTCCTGTCAATTTTTTTTTCAAAGTTATTTAATCATCCCTAGAAAATCCTACAAGTGTACCTGTAAAACATATATATACCATATCTTCAACACAACCACCACAAATAACCAGTTTATGAACACATTTTAATCCAAGGAAGTCCAAGGTATTCTAATTGCAAAGTCAAATATTTTTCAAATGATTAAATATAAACAAAGTCTAATTCTAATCATTTACAAAAAAGCATATGAGTTTAGTTCCAAAATATACATCTAGCTCGGGCGTTGCTTCTTCCCATGAAGTGACGATGAAGGTGATGTAGTTGTCTCCTCCTCTAAAATGTCATCCAGTCCAACTCCAACATGAGACCCAGTCTTGCTACGCCGTCGAACTCTATGATATTGGCGGTGCACCACTGGAGGAGATGTGACGATAGTATGCTGAGGAGGAGGAGAAGGGGGTGGGAGAGGGGGAACTACAGGAGAGGGAGAAGGAGCATGTAAGGGAGAGGGGAAAGGAGCATGCAAAGGAGAGCGAATGGGAGTCGGTGGACGGAAGGCACGTGATGAATGGCCTCCATGATGAGGTGGTGGTCTGATCGGCTTAGTGTACACAGTAGAAGATGAAGAAGATGGTGAAGTGGACACTCGAGGCTACTGAATAAGGTGTGAATGCCCCACCGTAGACAAGGTTTTCCCACAGAATGATGTAAGACCCTACATCGTCTGTATGGCAAATGGTAGAGCCTTGTTCGGTGGCAAATGAGAGATGGTCTCAGTAGCTCCCGATAGCTTCACGTGCAAATCAGAAAATGCATGTGCCTACATTAAAGTGTAGTTTTAATGTTAGTAAAATGAAATAAAAAACGAAACAACTAGATTGAAATGAAATGAAGTTCATACAAGTACTAGGTCAGAGGTAGCTGGCTGGTAATGACTCGGGGGCGTGGCTGCGAAGGTGGGGTAATGACCAGCCTCGTGATGCGATGGTACCAAGCTATGTACTCTGTCATGGCCCTCTTCAAGTCTTCTTTTACTCCAACTTCAATTGCAAAATAGGAGTTAACTTGAAAAAAGGTCATTTGCACTAAAGCAGTTATTGGGAGACAACGAGCCCCTTTTAAGACTCCATTGAAAACTTCCGACATGTTTGTAGTCTTCACACCAAACCTGAAACCACCATCATGATGAATAGACCACTTACTGTACGGAATTTCCATCAAGTACCTACGGGCCTCTACATTCAAGTCACCAATTTTGTTGATGTAGTAATCAAACTTCTTCTGCCTTGCAGTAGCTGCTTTGCCAAAGAGGTTCTTTATGACGACACTTTTAAATTTTGTGTTCACATTAGAAGCCAAGTGTCGTGTGCAGTACTTGTGGTAGGCATTGGGCTCCTCCCAACCACTTCCAACCTCTTCCATTGCTGCTAAAATACCAGCATGTCAATTAGATATCACACATAACCCTTTCTTATCTGTTACTCAAGCTCGAATACAAGTCGTGAACCAAGACCAGCTATCATTGTTTTCTCCTTCGACAACCGCAAAAGCGAGGGGGAATAGTTGAAAATTAGCATCGGTTCCCATAGCAATAAGTAGAGTCCCTTTGTATTTGCCATATAAATGAGTTCCGACAACGATGATAAGGGGCCTGCAATGACGAAATCCATCAATACATGGCTTGAATGCCCAAAAAACTCGTTGGAAAAGATGTGTTCCAGGAACCGTACTCTCTAACAACCTCCACTCAACAACAGTTCCAGGATTTGATTCCTTGAGAGCTTGCATGTACTTAGGCAATTGTTCATATGAACCCTCCCAATCCCCATAAATGAGTTTTATTGCCTTTTGTTTCGCTATCCATGCTCTCTCTTGTAGGTTATTTGAAATCCATCAAACTTCTCTTTCACAAGTTGCACCATTGTCTTGATTTTCAATGAAGGATCAACGCGAATGACATCTAGAAGAGCATTGCAAACGAACTCGGAAGTGAGTAGCTTATGATCCACCGAGTCGATGTCACCAACACAGTTAATTGCATGAGGGTCGTTGTACCGCACAACTTTAAACGCACAAAGTGTTGGATCTTTCACTCCTCTAAGCCTCCACGAACAACTACATTGTTCTTTCCTCTTGCACTCAACCACATATTTCTCTGGCTCTGCCTCCACAACTCGAATTGTTTGATTTCTAGCTATGGAGTAAGATTTCACAGCATCTTTCAGTTGTTTCAATGAGTCAAACTACTGTCCAACCTCAAATTCCCCCCTCCCCATTGTTATATGTCTCATTTCCTAACCAAGTCATCCATGAGTTATTCAAACGTGGATCAACTTGCGGGCATTGAAGTCTGTAGTGGGAGCATTTTCTTTGATTGCCTTATCACGAACTTCAATTACATCTTCATCTTCATCAGTATCATTCATCCCCACATCCCCAAAAACATCAACATTGTTTGGGTCAAGAGAATCAAGAATGCCTTGTGGTTGTGTGCTTTTTGAGGTTCCAACATTAGGCGATGAGGTCGGAGACCTAATCTGTGAAAGATGTTCATTGACATATTCTGGATCAACAATCATTCTTGTGAATGACCCTACGCCCACACTTTGATTAGTAAGGGAAATGGTTGCTCCACACTACCAAAAAATTCCATCTCCGGGAAGGAACCAGTATTAGTTTGCATAACTGGCTCCTTTGGAACCTGTTCAATGTACAAGTGTGTTGCAATAGAAGAACTTTGAGTCACAGCAATCCACATAGCCTTAAGAGCATTGTCGTCATTCAACAGAACTGCGACATAAGCCCCGGCCATAGGATATCGCATAACTACCTTCAACTCCAAAAACCTAGGATCAATACTCAAATCTTCATACAGCTTGTTCCGAACGTTTGAATATGTCATCCCGGGATTTACAAAAACAAATTTTTGATTTCCACCCCTATACGTTACGTCACTATCTTTGTGGATAATTTCTCCACCCCAATAGCAATATAGAGGGTAGTTTGGTACCTCCATGATGCATTCTAGAAAACACCATGATCAGTCAAAGATATTAGTGTTGCAAAAATTTACTTAGACGACCATGAATAAACTACGCTATACTTAAGCAAAATATATGATGACATTCACATACAACTCACATAGTCTACACTCTAAAACATACGTAAACCCTTAAAGTGAACCTCTGCATCTGAGGTAAGGATGGAGGCTATTGGTTTCACCAAACAACAACAACTTCACTAGGCAATTGGTTTCACCAAACAACAACAACTTCACCAAATAATTCGACAATTGCAAAAAAAAAAAAAAAATTATTAAACAAACACAGTAACATTGTGCCTTTCACAACTTCACCAAAATTTCGCTACCATTCACCAAATTCACAAGCAGCAACAACAACAACAACAACAACAACAACAAATTCACGAATTGCAAAAAAAAAAAAAAAAAAAAAAACAAACAATAATAGACAAATACAAGTAACATTCACAATTTCACTACTTCACCAAAATTTCACTACAATTCACCAAATTCACGAGCAACAACAACAACAAATTCACGAGCAACACCACTTTCACGAGCATTCACCATATTCACGACCAAATTCACGAGCATTGGATAAAATATAAAGAAATTAGGGCAAGATTCACTTACCAAATGACAGAACAACAACGCGCAAGATTCACTTCGTGGTCTGAGACCGGCGTCGGCAACGACCTTTGTGAACAATGTGGCATTTTCCGGCAACAGGCGCGGCGGTGATTGTGGCGTCGGCAACCAACTATGGGAGGAGTGGCGCGTTTTTGGTTTTCTGGGAAGTGAGAAGTGAGAAAGTGATTTTGTAAAAACGAAGAGGAGGAGAAACTGAATTTTGTAAAAAAAAATCATTAAACATAAACCGCTACTTCAAGTATCGCTTTTCTTATACAAACCGCTACTTCAAGTAGCGGTTTGTTAAAAAACCCGGTTTAAAAATCTTTTCCCCCTGAACCGGTGACGTGGACGGTAAAACGGGAATAAAAAAAAGCAGCTGTATTTTGGGAATTGCATATCTTGTCAACAATATTTAGGGAAAGAGCTCAGTTCTAACATGGTAAGTTGTCAAATTAGTTGACTCCCTATACAATTCAAAAGTTTGACAAAACATGCATAATATTATTGATGAACATTTTATAGGAATATTTTTTTACAAAGTGAAAAAAATAAACTAGCTCCTAACTAAAAATGTTAACTCATCTTGTTTCGGGGTTTTCTGATGTCCTACGGGAGAGTTACAATTCCGAGACTGGAACCGGACGCCTGTACCTGCAAAACAAACGGATGCTCCGGATGATTGGAGATCCGCCTCCGACGGTCAAGTTAGTACTTGATTAAGGAGTAATTAATGCGGAAATTAAAGTGATTGGGTCTCTCTAGGTGAGAGTGTTTAATGTGCGTAATCTGCGTAATCCCCCTTAATGAGGATTAAGGGAGGTATTTATAACCTCGGGAAACGTGCCAATCTAGGTTTAGGTTAACCTTGGGCTGATTGGGCTTCC